AGGCAAGATAGGCCAGAAAATGCAATAAGCACTCGAAAAAATGCCAAAATTTTGAATTTATTCAAAACGGGCTTATTTCCTGAAATAGTATTTATTCCAACTTATTTCTCAAAGACATGTAAGTGCTTCTTGGTGTGGTCTTGGCCTAAAATAAGCACTTTCTCCAATAAATGTTTAAAAATAAATACTCCTAAATATGGGCATAGTAGAGTTAATTTACTTAACTATCTTAATATCATTTTCATTAATTAATTTTAAAATTTTGTTACCTTGACTACCCTTTTACTGATTTAAAGAAGAACAAATGCATCAGAAACTAAATTTTAAAAATAAAAAAAGGAGTATTAATTGTTGATTTGTTGTACAAATTTTGTTTCATTTTTCTTTGGTTTGGGCACGTAAAACACCCAAAACAAAAACTACCTTTGACTGAACACCACATTCATCATCAATACTTGGCCTTTCTTGCAAAATGGAGTAGACAGGAATAACCGAGCTGGGTTTCATAAATTCAGACCACTCCATTAACAAACAAAAGGAGCAGAAATTTTTCCTCAACAGATACACAGTTGGATGAATAGTCTATCCTCAGTCATTGGGTTTAATTCTATAAAAATAATCCCCTCAAGTAGAAGAGTTCCTGAAAGAACAAACAATGACAGTGGTAAATGACAACAATATTATATTTAAAAGACAATCAAAGTGGCTAGTCCAAAAGCTTCACCCATGTTCCCCGGATGCATTGCCTCTTGATTTCCAAGATCTTCCATCATGTTTGTTGGAGAATGAATTCTTGGAGAACAACTGTTAGGGTTTTTGTCATTAGCCTCAAATTTCTTGCATTTATTATTTGTTTTTTTTTTTTTTTTTATTTGGTACCATGCACCATTGATAACTTTCCCTTGACTCTTTTTTTCCAAAGTATTGGTTGCGGGATTCAATTCCACGACAACGACGCTAGAACAAACCAACTAACACACAAATGAGCCAGCCCTCAGTTGGTTATTCGGGGCATTTAAGAATATAACCTGCTACAATTTTATTATGCATGTTACTATTGAAATTTTGGAAGAAAGAAAATAAAAAAAAATCAGAAAATAGATAAATGGCGGGGAGCACTAGCAAGACACCCGTGCGATGCATGGGAATATATATACCAAAAAAATATATAAAGATGTTGATCCATCTCAGTATAATCATATTATTTCTTAAAATGGAATAATATCTTTTATACGTGACATGCATACAAAGTAAAAAAGATGAAAATATATATTATTACAAAAATACACTTTTTTTTTGAAAACTTAATTGTTTATATATTAATTGAAGGACTATTTGGTTGTTTAAGGTTAGAAAATATTTTGATTTGTTTTAAAAAAACTAAAATAATAAAATCATGTTATTCATCAAACACATGAATAAGATGCCATCATGGATATATGGAAAGGTTTCCAAACTCCTTATAAATGAGCCATACTTCTTTTCACCTTTGGTACATGCATGGTCCATCAAAGGGGCAGTGAGCATCTACTTTGAGTAACCTATAGATATACGTTTAATGTTGTCCAATTGAATATATAGCTTTTAATCTGGCAACTCAGAGAATTTCATAACTCCTTCAAACTCTTTAGTGTATTAGTTTCTCGATCTATGTATATAAAACCTCAATTTTCTTGAAATTTTTAATGAATATATTACCAACTTTGTGGTAGAACAAAATGTTTTACAAACAAATTTTTGAGATAATTGGCACATCCTTGAGTCTTATGCCTTATACTTACATTGGTAGGGAAACTTTATGAAGTTTCCCAAAGATGTAATAGAATGGTGATTAAGTTTCATAAAAAAACAATTATATGTATGAATGCTCTAGAAAGCCCACACTATTATTTGCATAGTTTCAAAATGTTTTAGGCACATGACTTACCCAAAACATACTATTTTCTCCTGCATCCACATCCAAAACAATCATAGAAATCACCACAACACCTAAAAACCAGCCAGGATCACATGACCACCCAAAGCATTCATTCCATCACAATATGCTCACAAATCACAATCACTAAAGATACAAGTCCAAAAACATGGAATTATTTGAGAGGATTAATTGTTTTCAGGCGAAAACCTCACAACCCAACATAGATACATACTTTTAGTAGAACTTGGAAGCACAATAGATAATTGCAATTGGAGACATGAGCCACCTCAAAGACCTTAAGCCTCCCACAAACCCCAAGGGAATCAAACCTACCTACTGTTTGGGGCATATAACTCACACACTAAGGCATTAAGGTGCCATTCGTTTAAGATGAATCAAATATAGGTGGCAAATGCAACCTCAATCTACTAATTCACAAATGCAATTGCAAGAGTAGAATAATGCAAGGGAAAAATAAAGATTAAACAACCCTTTTTTTATAGTAAATTAGGATCCCAAAAACAAAATATATAATTGTATGGATGATAAAAACAATATATATAATGGCAAAGATGAGAACAATGTACAATATCAAAGGGTCATCTTTGTGTCTAGGAAAATGGGGCTGAATATTGTCATGGAAATTATCCATTGGAAAATCAATGATTGCCCAAGTCCTCTCATCCATATTTTGTTAGCAATAGTGAAGAACGTACACAATTTCACTAATGGAGATTGAAATTGCAACTCAACATACACCTATGTACATAAAAAGAAGAAATGAGAGAAAAATGTTAAGTTCATTATTTAAACAAAAGAAAAAATTTCGCAGAAGAATAAACATAGGGTCCTCACCAAATTAAAGCAACCGTCTACATGACCAGCGAAACACTAGAAATTATAATCTGAATAGTTCTTGATTTTGACATAGCGGAGGGAAAAATTACATCCATTTATTTTGCAAAATAAGAATAGAGGGGGATCATGTTTAAATAATGAGAGAGACAGAGAGAGACCATGGTGATCAAAGGTGATGCAACTGCAAAAGATGTTTACATATGCATAAACAAAACCAATGCTACCAAAGTTAACTGAAAACATGCTTGAAAAGAAAGAAAATAGATGAAGGAAAATATATAAATAAGAGAGAAAATTACATGATTCCAATCTCTTTCTTTGCTAAATTCATTTGGGTGAAGGAAGCCTAGTTGAGGTTTCTTTTCAACTCTTAGGATTTTCTTAGAGTTTCTGTAGATGGGAAGCGTGCCCATGGTGGCTAGCGAACTCTGTCTTGAAGGACCTTTCTCTTTGTTTTTTTTCTTGACTGTGTTTTTATTTTTTATTTTTTTTTGTGGTAGTTGGTTTCAGTGTTTTGTGATGCTTGTTTGTAATGTTGCCTTTTCTTAATAGAATTCTCTTATTTACCAAAAAAAATATCTTCCTTTGCCTTCCTTATTTCTCATCAATTCAAAAGCATGATTTTAAAGAAGGTTCAATGTAGATATAATCTGAAGACCAATTAAGAGGTCTTATCAAGTAAAAATACAATAGATAATTTGATAATAAAAGCATTTGAAGAAGAAGGGAAGAATTGGTGGGAAACTCAATCCTATTTTGAGCATTCACCTCAATAAGGACATTAAAAGATGAAAATAACATCTATATAAGTTATAACGTATGTATAAATTAATTAACCTTATGTAATAAGGGTGTTTATGTACATTTAAAAAGCATTGATGAAAGTGGGTCATTTTCCTTAACGGATATTAAAAAGTAGAGATTGCTCTTGTCATTTAACTAAAATGGCTCACATGTGTGAAAAGTGAAAGGCCAAAGCATGTGAGGTTTGTGGTGAGAGACCCTTAAACATTGGCACATTCCTCTTTCTCTTCATCGTTGGAATGAAATAAGCTTACTTACATCAAGATCCAAAGGGTGCAAGTTTGTAACCATAAGGTTGCGCTTGGAATCAGTGTAAAACGTCATCGGTATACACCGATAATGTTTTACACTAAACCATAAGTGACCGTTGCTTTTTGAAAAATGCAATGGGTGGAAAAGTGTAAAGCTTTACAAAACTTTATGCTCGATTCACAATATAAAACTCCACTCCATCCAAACACATGCAAAATTGAACCATAGTGGAGTTTTATGTCGACCATAATTACACGGTCCTTCCAAACGGCTACAAAACCAAATCGATGTAAATTTGACGTTGATTCTTGATTTACATCGCTTCCAAATGCAGCCTAAAAGAAAAATTTTTTTTCCCATCTTAATCATTTCACTTTTGTATGACAAACAAACAATTACAAATCCAAACAAGGGAGTATAAATACCCCATTTATAATGCAAACAAATGCAACCTGTATTTTACGAATTTATTTTTTTGAAAGGTAAAAGTAATATATTAGCTAGGAGAAATATATGCATAGTTCTTTACATCTTGTAATAGTTACCAATACACCATAGCTAACAAACCAACTAACACACCAATAAGCCAGCACTTGGTTGCTTGAAACCTACCATCTGATTTGCATTTTGCATTTTATTAAAACACAAGGGTGTTTAAATGAACAAGGTTTAGTTGAATGCTTTAGTTGTTCAGCAGACTGTGGAACCAAAAATAAGGTTCCACGCCAATATTTAAATACACGGGCCCGCATCTTTTATAGTGGGTCTATGCGTGAAACTTTCCTGTTTGGTGTGTCTTCAAATGCAATCTTTTGGCTGTTTACAAGTCGGGAAGACTGAAAATCGGTTTATTTCCATTTGGCATGCAGAAGATCTAGCCACCAAAAGACGGGATGCCGAAAAGATGCGTGAAGCCCATTTTGGACTGATTTCGGGAAGCTCCAAATGAAGCTTCCCGTGTCTTTTGCGTTTTAATCTTGCGCGAAAAGACTCGAAACGATGCACGGAAAGGCGTACATCTGTCAAACGATCTTCGGACTGCCCAGATCTTACGTCAAAAGCTCAGTACATCTTTTAACTATCAAAGCTACAAAAAGATCTTCTCAAAAACACTTGCCAAACGGGCCCGATCGTTATTGGTTAACAGCCCGCTGAAGAGGTAAGCTAATCCGAATTCGTGACGAGTTCAGTCCGAAAACCTATCCAATCCGGCTCGAGCCGGTATCGGAAGTGCTTTAAAGTCTGGGACGCCTCCGTGCCGGAATCGGTCCACTTGAACATGGAAGCAGTTCATCGTCGTCTTCTCGGTTCTTTTCTCAGTGAAACCAATCGTCACTCGAATCTCTCCCCCTCTTTATTCCGTCTCCTCATCTTTGAAACCAACTCCATCCCTATCTCTCCAAACCCTAAACAGGAACCGGCAACCGTCTCCACCTCACCATCATCTTACTTCTCTTGCCGTTCAATCGTCTCCGCCACGTCCTTTCTCTGCAGCTACAAAGAACACTCTGAAGCCTTAACCCCACCACCTGAGGACCCAAGAATCATACGTCCCAGAACCCGAACACCTCTCGAGAAGCAATTCGAGACATGGGTCGAGAAGCTCAAGCCCGGCTTCACTCCCGCCGACGTCGACGACGCCCTCCGTTCCCAATCCGATCCCGACCTCGCCCTCGACATCTTCAGGTGGACTGCACAGCAGCGCGGCTACAAGCACAACCAACTCACCTACCACACTATGTTCCAGATTGCCGTCTCCGGTAAGCGCTTTGGACACGCTGAAACATTAATAGAAGAGGTCCTCGCAGGTGCCTGTTCCGGCAGTTTAAATCTCTATAACTCGATGATCCGGTTTTGTTGTAGTCGGAAACCACTCTTCAACCGAGCTTTCGATGTTTACAGGAAAATGCAGAGGTCACAGGACTGTAAGCCCACGCTAGAAACCTACACATTGCTCCTGAATGCTCTTCTTAGAAAATTCAATAAGTTAAACGTCTGTTATGCTTATATGCATTCTGTGCGATCCTTACTAAAACAGATGAAGGCTTCTGGTGTGATTCCTGATACATTTGCTTTGAATTTGATCATAAAAGCTTACTCTAAGTGTTTGGAAATGGACGAAGCAATCAGGGTTTTTCGTGAAATGGGTTTATATGCTTGTGAACCGAATGCATATACGTATAGTTATATTGCCAAAGGTTTGTGTGAGAAGGGGAGAGTAAGCCAGGGCTTTGGGTTTTATAAAGAAATGAGGGATAAAGGTCTTGTGCCGACTAGTAGTACTTACATGATTCTTATCTGTAGTCTCTCAATGGAACGGAGGTTTGAAGATGCAAACGGTGTTCTGTTTGATATGTTGAATAATTCAATGGTTCCTGACCTCTTAACTTACAGGACCCTTTTCGAAGAGTTGTGTAGGGAAGGCAGGGGAAATGAGGCTTTTCAGCTTCTTGAAGAACTGAGGAAGAAGGAGGGATCCATGGAGGAGAAGACCTACAAGACTTTATTGGATGGATTGCATTTCTTATGTCGGGAATAGATGTCAATCTGTGGTGAAGATCTTCTTTTTCTTATGTACATAAGGAGGCATTTGGATATAAAAGAGCAGAGTAGATGTTGCAGAGCTCTGGTGTAGAACATGTAATTGGAGGTCTAAGAATCATATCACAAGATCTTTATTCTGTAATTGGTCCTGGTCCTCTATATTCATTCATTTTCATAAGTTTATTTCAGTGCTTGGGTTTACAACATGTAACATGGAGAGTAAGAATTAGGTTATCAGTTTTTGATTCATTTGGCATATTTGGATCTTTGGCCCTGTAATTTATTCCAGGGAAGCAGTAGAATCATTGAAAAGAACAAATCTCTATGCTGGTCATCTGCACGTTCTCTGTTATGGTAGAGAGACTATTAGTTTCAGTTACTTATCATCACTTTTTGTCATAGTATTGATTCTTGAAATTTTGAAGCTTCTCAGCACAAGGCATATTTCTGTAGGATTAATTTACACATTGATCAATTTAGCTTGGGATTGAAAGGAGGCTTTGCAAGATTGCTTGCTCTGCAATTGATCCAGTTTTTCTGGCATTGTAGTCATCTGCAGATGGTTTTGATATTTTGTTGCTAATAATTTAGCAAAACTGATTAGTTGACCCCCATATAGTTGGGATTAGGCATGGATGAATCTGATATGTGAAGAATGAATGGATTTAGCAAAACTGATCTGTGAAGAATAAATCAATATTTATGCCCCTGAATAAAGCTGGCAGTCTTGACCCCAACCCATTTGACTCACCTAACCCACCCATACCCACCCATTCCAATGGTGGGTCAATATGGGTCGAGTGACCCATTAGGGTCAGTGGAAAAGGGTCAGGGTGGGTTGGGTCGAGGGTACCCACTAGGGTCAGAATGGGTTGGGTCGAGGGTTTCAGACTTGTTCAAAAGTTTGAAACTCTATTCAGGTCGAGGGCTCGAGGGTTTCTGAGTAAGGGTCAAGGGTTTCATCTGCCATTCTATGCTCTCTTCCATTCTTTCATCATTCTCACAGTCGAAGGTTTCTCCCCCATTATCTGAGTAAGGTTCGAGGGTTTCCTCCTGCCATTCTCTGGTCTCTGCCATTCTTTCACAATTCTCACGGTCGAAAGTTTCTTTTCCATTCTCTGAATAAGGGTTGAGGGAGCAGCTCCTCTTCTCTCACTGCCCATGCAAGGTGCAACCTCAAAGGTAAACCGATTCTTCCTTCTTCTCTTTTCCCTTATTTTCTTCTTCTGATTTTATATTAGCAGGCCTTCAGTTTAGATATTCTGGTTTCTTTGTGAATTTTCCAATTTGTTGATAGATTTTAAAATCTGATTAATTTAATGAGGCTTCGTTTATCTTTGCTAGTTTCAGTTTATCAATTCTTTACGAGTAGTATTTATTTGATTGGTTTATATCATTAGAAGAAAATTGATTATGATCTTAACTCATAGCTCCTGTTTTAGATATGAAAAGGAATAGTCCTTTAATTGATTATTCCTATCGGTACTTCAGTTACTAGGTCATAACAGATTGAACCTATAAAGTGTGATTTATAGTGCTAGAGAACTGGATTGAAAATTATCAGAGGAAAGGCACTTAGATACCAACATGGTTAGCAAGACCCAATGGCCCATAAACCCATCTGATCTATCATTCATTATTTTCTTTTTGTCAGTATGAATATGAAAAGCATCAGTTCCACAGGATATGAATTTCAGGCTTTATCAGCAATCTAATCAATGGAATGGTTATGCTTTCCCTAGCAAAGTTCTTTTCTTCTTTTTTTTTTTTATTTTTTTTTAAATTCTCCCCAGACCCCAGACCCCAGACCCATAGTTCCAAGTTACAACTTGTGCTTGGTTTTAAGTCTTTCTCTAGATTGTTTCTGAAATATTTGGATTGGCCATGTTTACTTGCTTGTTCAGTGGCACTGGCTTTAGGCCCAATACTTGTCCTAGTGAGTGGCTATTGGCTACATCTTTGGCCTTAATAACAGAATTGCAGTGGTGTAATTTATTACCAAAGACAGAGCACATTTTCAAGTATTTGGTTTGGAATTTGGAATTTGGAATCAATGGGTTCCTTATATTTTGAACACTTGCACAAATCCCCTTACTATATAAGTTTGTCTCAAAAATAAAAGATTTCTATCATACATTTTCAAGAATTTTGGACTTATATATATGCGAAAGTGAGAGGTTTCACCATTTTCTCTGGGTGATATTTGAAAATAACAATAGTTTGAAATTGTAGGCAAAAGTTTGAAAATTTCATCTAGATAAATCTGTCTTCTTAGTTTTTCTGCTGTTTGTGGTTGACATCTTGGTCCATAAAATGGAAACCTAGACAAATCTAGAACCTCATTCACAAGGATTACTCTAGACAGGTTCTCCATGGCTCTGCTTGGTATTAATTCTTTTATATATTTAGGGGATGCTTATGATTTATGAAAGAGGGATTATATATTCATGGTTGACATCTTTTTTTTTTTCTTGGTCAAGTTGGTGATGGTGATTGGTGAGGATTTGTTAGATTGTTGCATTTGGCAACTTGACATATGAGTGCCACTGTTGCTATGTTTTTTTAATTAAAGGATAAGGCGAGACACATCTTTTTGTACTAGTGTTTGTTTTGTAATTATCAATACAATTGGTTAGGGATGGACTAAGAGGTGGGTAGAGCAGTCCAGTCAACTCATAAGTAGTTTGAAAAGCCTGTTCTTCTTCACATTGTCTGGTCTATGGTTTGGTGGAGAGGGGGTTTCCTGATCACCTTATGAATTGAGTCTAAGTAATAACTCACTTAAGTAGGGGAAGGGATTCACATAGTCTTTGTACTAGTGTTTGTTCTGCTTCTCTTATCTTCCATCAAACCAAACATAGCCTTAAGAATACCAGTTTTCGAATTGGACAGTTGTGATCGATTTTAGAATTTTCAGCTCAACCAGATTCAAAGAGATGGCCCACCATAGTTGGTATGTCTATGCCTTATTGTAAGTGGGTATCTTACCTAGATCATTGACATTCAGAGTGAGTGCGTCACTCTGAATGGATTCCTCAATTAACCAACTCCTTCGTAAATGATATAGCCATGAGAGTGGTTAGAGAGGTATGACCTAGAAATTAGAACAGAGGATTTTCCTTCCAGGGTTTTTTTTTTTTTTTATTGGAAAAGGTGACTTTCATTAAGGATATCAAATTACATCTTGCACTGTCAACCACTCAAACAAAGAGTGTTGACCCCAACATGACATCAAGAATTACAGTACAGCCGAAAAAAAAGTTTTCCCTGAAGGTCCCTGTTTTGCCAAGCTATCTGCCACAGAATTTGCTGATCTCCTTACCCATTTGAAAGTTACTCCAACTTTCCTTGCCAAGCAGATTATTTCTCTTATTTGCTGTCTAAACTTCCATACACCCAAACTCTTTGTTTGCAGCCACCCTATTATCAATTTAGAGTCCCCTTCCACCTCCAATTTCTGAAATTCCCATTGTTTTGCAAATCTCAGGCCTTGTAGTAGAGCCAAAATTTCAGCTCTCATAGAGCCTCCCACTCCTATGGGACTAGAGTATAGTGCCACCATTCTGCCCTCCCCATCCCTAAAGACTCCCCCAACTCCCGAGGGTCCTGGGTTACCCATGGAGCTTCCATCAAAATTTAATTTGACCCTTTGTTGTGCTGCAGGTGTCCAAGAAGGTTGAGGGACAGGCTGTTTGATTGAAGAGTTTGCCACTGCTGACCATCCCCTTTGTATATCATCCACTGAAAAATCTTTAAATAAGTCCCTTACTTTCAGCCAATGTATGACTTTAATGGATACGCAGTCAATAATTTGTTTTGTTGATCTTTGTGCCCCTTGGAATATTCTGTTATTCCTTTTTTCCCATAAGGACCAAAGAATGGCTGCTTTTGTTGCCCTCCACATCACTCTCCCCCTTTTCTTTGAAAGTAGGAAGAAGGTTGGGTTGAACAGACTTGTCACATCTGGATGAGAGGTCCATTTGCAGCCAAATAAGGAAGAGAACCAATTCCACACACAAGAAGCAAATGGACAAGAAAGTAACAGATGTGTAATTGTCTCACCATTTCCCAAACAAAGGCAACAAACATGAGGGCAGAGGCAATGATTTGGCCTTCTTTTTTGTAAATTATCCAGAGTATTAATTTTCTGCAGCACCACCTCCCAACAAAAGGCTCTTATTTTTTGGGGTACAGGACTACACCAGACTTCCTTTGTAGGAAAGGAGCCTCCTGGGTGTGAGGAATGAAGGAGGGAGGAGAAAAAAGAGGCACATGTATAGGAGTCAGAGGGGGACTCTGACTAGATTCTACTATCCTGGCAAGAGGGATCCAGGAATGTAGTATTAAGAAGGGAAATTAGTTCATCTACTAAGCCCATTTCATGTTCCTTAACCCTCTCCTTAATCCTAGATCCCAAGAGTTTCATTAACAATCAATGAAGAAATCACTTTCCCTTTATTGAGGGACAAAGAAAAAATAGGTGGAAATCTGTCTTTGAGAGAAATGTCCCCAAGCCAGATATCCTCCCAGAAACCAACTTTGTTACCCATACAAGCATCATACTTGACCAGCTGAAGGAAAGACGGTAGAAAATTGTGAATTCCTTTCCAAGGAGAAGCCCTTGTTGCCCTAGGATCAAGGTCAGCGTCCCATCCGTTATCTGCCATGCCATGGGTGCTTACAATTACCTTATGCCATAAGTTCTTTTGTTCCAAGGGAAACCTCCACAACCATTTACCCAGCAGTGCCAAGTTCCTAAGTTTAATGTTTCCTACCGCTATGCCTCCATTATCCCTACTCCTTGAAACCACCTCCCACTTTACCAAATGATCCTTTTTTGTATTCCCTTGCTCCCACAAGAAGTCTCTCATTAGTTTCTCTAGTTTATTGGCCACTTTTAAGGGGACCCTAAAGGTTGAGAGGTCATAGACTGGAAAATTTGTCAATGTTGACTTTATTAGGGTTATTCTACCCCCTAGAGAAATGTAGTTTCTCTTCTAGCCAGCAAGCCTTTTTGTGAATCTTTCCACTACCGAATCCCAGAAGCTGATAGAATTCGGGTTCCCTCCCAAGGGTAGACCAAGGTACTGTAGAGGCCACTCACCTACTTCACAACACAGCAAACTGGCTAGGCTTTCAACCTTTCCTCTCTCTTTATTTAAACCTGCTACACAACTTTTGCTCCAATTTACTTTGAGGTTGGAGACCTTTTCAAAAAGGGATACCACCCTCTGTAAATTTGTCAATTCCTCCCTTTCTCCTTCGCAAAAAATTAGAATATCATCTGTGAATTGTAAATGGGTAACCACCACTTTATTCCTTCCAATTCTCCAACCTCATATCAAATTGTTGGCATCAGTCCTTAAGATCAAGTCACTAAACACATCTACTATTAGGGTAAAGAGGAAGGGGGACAAGGGGTTACCTTGTTGAAGGCCCCTTTTAGCTGGAAAGAAATCTCTGGCAACTCCATTAACCAAAATGGAATAATGACATGAGGAAATGCAGCCCCTAATCTATTTGCACCATCTCTCTCCAAAACCTCTCGACCTTAACACTTCTAGAAGGAAATCCCAATCCACCAAATCATAGGCTTTCTCTAGGTCCAATTTGCAAATTAGCCCCTTTTCCTTTCTCCGTTTTTTAAACTCCACACACTCATTTGCAATAAGGATTTTCCTTCTAGGGTCATTAACATATCATAATTAGATGGGCGTGTAATAGGACACCTGGTCCATGGCTGATGAATGTGCTTAAAGGTTTCAAAGCATGTGCTTATGGAGCTAAGATTTCTTGTGTACATTTTACTGATGACACCATGATTTTTGTGGAATCCAACCATAGTGAATTTGAATCCTAGAGGTATTGTCTGTGGTTTTAAAAGGAATTTCAACTTGAATGATGCCCTCAAAAGATTGTAGGTAACTGAGTATTAATGTTGACAAGCATGTTTTAATGAGTGGTCTCAGTTCCTATAGTGTCCTTTTTAACTTTTTATTATTGGTGTTTTACTGTTTTTTTACAGTCTCTTATGAAAGTATTAATGATGCCCTCAAAAGTATGAATGTATTATTATTGCTTTAATGAGTGATCTCGGTTTCTGTTTTTCCTCAGTTATGAATGTAAAAACTAGCACATGCGAACTGAATCCAGAGCAGGAAGAAAACACATTTAGGGGTGTC